ACAAAGTTATCTGTAGTTCAAAATTGACACAGTTATCTACAGTTCACAATATACACAGTTATCTACAGTGGAAAATATACAGTTATCTACAGTTCAAAATATACATAGTTATCTACAGTTCAAAATATCAAGTTATTTACAGTTCAAAATATACACAGTTATCTATAGTTCACAATATACACGGTTATTTACAGTTCAAAATATACCGTTATCTACAGTTAAAAGTATCCACAGTTATCTACAGTTCAAAGTATACACAGTTATCTCCAGTTCAAAATATACACTTAGCTATAGTTCAAAATATACACAGTAATCTACAGTTCACAATGCACAAAGTTATCTACAGTTCAAAATATACACAGTTATCTACAGTTCAAAATATACACAATTATCTACAGTTCAAAATATACAGTTATCTACAGTTCAAAATATACACAGTTATCTACAGTTCAAAATATACACAGTTATCTAGAGTTCAAAATATAAAAAGTTATTTATAGTTCAAAATATACACAGTTATCAAAATATATACAGTTATCTACAGTTCAAAATATACACAGTTATCTAGAGTTCAAAATATACAGTTAGCTATAGTTCAAAATATACAAACTTATCTACAATTCAAAATATACATAGTTATCTACAGTTCAAAATATACAGTTATTTACAGTTCACAATATACATAGTTATCTACAGTTCAAAATATACAAAGTTATCTACAGTTCAAAATATACAGTTATCTACAGTTCAAAATATACACAATTATCTACAGTTCAAAATATACACTTAGCTATAATTCAAAATATACAAAGTTATCTACAGTTCAAAATATACAGTTAGCTACAGTTCAAAATATACAAAGTTATCTATAGTTCAAAATATACACAGTTATTTACAGTTCACAATATACAAAGTTATCTACAGTTCAAAATACACACAGTTATCTACAGTTCAAAATATACACAGTTATCTACAGTTCAAAATATCAAGTTATTTACAGTTCAAAATATACAGTTATCTACAGTTCAAAATATACACAGTTGTCTACAGTTCTAAATATCAAGTTATTTACAGTTCAAAATATACAAAGTTTTCTACAGTTCAAAATATACACAGTTATTGATAGTTCAATATATACAAAGTTATTTACAGTTCACGATATACACAGTTATCTACAGTTCAAAATATACAGTTATCTACAGTTCAAAATATACAGTTATCTACAGTTCAAAATATACAAAGTTATCTACAGTTCAAAATATACACTTAGCTATAGTTCAAAATATACAAAGTTATTTACAGTTCACGATATACACAGTTATCTACAGTTCAAAATATACAGTTATCTACAGTTCAAAATATACACAGTTATCTACAGTTCAAAATATACACAGTTATCTACTGTTCAAAGTATACACAGTTATTACAGTTCAAAATATACAGTTCACAATGTACACGGTTAATTACAGTTCAAAATAAACAGTTATCTACAGTTCAAAATATCAACAGTTATTTACAGTTCAAAATATACAAAGTTATCTACAGTTCAAAATATACACAGTTATCTACAGTTCAAAATATACACAGTTATCTACAGTTCAAAATATACATTTAGCTATAGCTCAAAATATACACAGTTATCTACAGTTGAAAATATCAAGTTATTTACAGTTCAAAATATACAAAGTTATCTACAATTCAAAATACACACAGTTATCTACAGTTCAAAATATACAAAGTTATTTACAGTTCACGATATACACAGTTATCTACAGTTCAAAATATACAGTTATCTACAGTTCAAAATATACACAGTTATCTACAGTTCAAAATATACAAGTTATACAGTTCAAAATATACACAGTTATCTACAGTTCAAAATATACACAGTTATCTACAGTTCAAAATATACACAGTTATCTACAGTTCAAAATATACACAGTTATCTACAGTTCAAAATATACACAGTTATCTACAGTTCAAAATATACACAGTTATCTACAGTTCAAAATATACACAGTTATCTACAGTTCAAAATATACACAGTTATCTACAGTTCAAAATATACAAGTTATCTACAGTTCAAAATATACACAGTTATCTACAGTTCAAAATATACACAGTTATCTACAGTTCAAAATATACACAGTTATCTACAGTTCAAAATACACATAGTTATCTACAGTTCAAAATATACACAGTTATCTACAGTTGAAAATATCAAGTTATTTACAGTTCAAAATATACAAAGTTATCTACAGTTCAAAATATACAGTAAGCTATAGTTCAAAATATACAGTTATATACACAGTTATCTACAGTTCAAAATATACACAGTTATCTACAGTTCAAAATATACACAGTTATCTACAGTTCAAAATATACACAGTTATCTACAGTTCAAAATATACACAGTTATCTACAGTTCAAAATATATACAGTTATCTACAGTTCAAAATATACACAGTTATCTACAGTTCAAAATATACACAGTTATCTACAGTTCAAAATATACAGTTAGCTATAGTTCAAAATATACAAAGTTATCTACAATTCAAAATATACATAGTTATCTACAGTTGACAAAATTCACAGTTATATACTGTTAAAGATATACCGTTTTCTACAGTTCAAAATATACACAGTTATCTACAGTTCAAAATATCAACAGTTATTTACAGTTCAAAATATACACAGTTATCTACAGTTCAAAATATCAAGTTATCTACAGTTCAAAATATACACAGTTATCTACAGTTCAAAATATACAGTTATCTACAGTTCAAAATATACACAGTTATTTACAGTTCACAATATACAAAGTTATCTACAGTTCAAAATATCAAGTTATTTTTGTGGATGTGGGTGTGATGTTATGTATACAGAGTTATCTGGTGTGGATGTTATGTATACAGAGTTATCTGGTGTGATGTTATGTATACAGAGTTATCTGGTGTGATGTTATGTATACAGAGTTATCTGGTGTGTATGTTATGTATACAGAGTTATCTGGTGTGTATGTTATGTATACAGAGTTATCTGGTGTGATGTTATGTATACAGAGTTATCTGGTGTGGATGTTATGTATACAGAGTTATCTGGTGTGTATGTTATGTATACAGAGTTATCTGGTGTGGATGTTATGTTGTATACAGAGTTATCTGGTGTGTATGTTATGTATACAGAGTTATCTGGTGTGATGTTATATATACAGAGTTATCTGGTGTGTATGTTATGTATACAGAGTTATCTGGTGTGTATGTTATGTATACAGAGTTATCTGGTGTGATGTTATGTATACAGAGTTATCTGGTGTGTATGTTATGTATACAGAGTTATCTGGTGTGTATGTTATGTATACAGAGTTATCTGGTGTGGATGTTATGTATACAGAGTTATCTGGTGTGGATGTTATGTATACATAGTTATCTGGTGTGTATGTTATGTATACAGAGTTATCTGGTGTGTATGTTATATATACAGAGTTATCTGGTGTGTATGTTATGTATACAGAGTTATCTGGTGTGTATGTTATGTATACAGAGTTATCTGGTGTGGATGTTATGTATACAGAGTTATCTGGTGTGTATGTTATGTATACAGAGTTATCTGGTGTGGATGTTATAATTTATGTATACAGAGTTATCTGGTGTGTATGTTATGTATACAGAGTTATCTGGTGTGTAGAGTTATCTGGTGTGGATGTTATATATACAGAGTTATCTGGTGTGATGTTATGTATACAGAGTTATCTGGTGTGGATGTTATATATACAGAGTTATCTGGTGTGTATGTTATGTATACAGAGTTATCTGGTGTGTATGTTATGTATACAGAGTTATCTGGTGTGTATGTTATGTATACAGAGTTATCTGGTGTGTATGTTTATGTATACAGAGTTATCTGGTGTGGATGTTATGTATACAGAGTTTTCTGGTGTGGATGTTATGTATACAGAGTTATCTGGTGTGTATGTTATGTATACAGAGTTATCTGGTGTGTATGTTATGTATACAGAGTTATCTGGTGTGTGTGTATGTTATGTATACAGAGTTATCTGGTGTGTATGTATACAGAGTTATCTGGTGTGTATGTTATGTATACAGAGTTATCTGGTGTGTATGTTATGTATACAGAGTTATCTGGTGTGTATGTTATGTATACAGAGTTATCTGGTGTGTATGTTATGTATACAGAGTTATCTGGTGTGTATGTTATGTATACAGAGTTATCTGGTGTGGATGTTATGTATACAGAGTTATCTGGTGTGGATGTTATATATACAGAGTTATCTGGTGTGTATGTTATGTATACAGAGTTATCTGGTGTGGATGTTATGTATACAGAGTTATCTGGTGTGGATGTTATGTATACAGAGTTATCTGGTGTGTATGTTATGTATACAGAGTTATCTGGTGTGATGTTATGTATACAGAGTTATCTGGTGTGTATGTTATGTATACAGAGTTATCTGGTGTGATGTTATGTATACAGAGTTATCTGGTGTGATGTTATGTATACAGAGTTATCTGGTGTGATGTTATGTATACAGAGTTATCTGGTGTGGATGTTATGTATACAGAGTTATCTGGTGTGTATGTTATGTATACAGAGTTATCTGGTGTGTATGTTATGTATACAGAGTTATCTGGTGTGTATGTTATGTATACAGAGTTATCTGGTGTGTATGTTATGTATACAGAGTTATCTGGTGTGATGTTATGTATATCATCAGATTATAAATTAGACATTAGTATTTAACAATTATCGTGTTCACGAGAGTATGGAGGCTAAACCTTGTGGTCCACACCTGCGTTGCATTGATATCTTTCGGTGGGATTCAACACTAAATACCATATGCCTAATATCATCCATGGTGATGTCACGTGTCCATATCAGATCCACACACTACCATGGTTTCAGGTGAAAATGTCTGGCCGGTAGCTTTCTGCTATCAATCATAAACAATAGCAACGTTACATTCAATTTAAAGTCTGTTATCAACTTAAGTCGAGTACGTGGTTGAGATATGAGATGTAACATATTGCTAATCTCAGTATCTCGATTTTTGACAACTTTTTATCTGGAGGTAACGTTGGCAACAGTTTACGTAGTTCGGCAAATGACACATTGAAGGCTTCTACACGTATTCTTTCACGTGTGGCATGCGCAGTGCGATATTTTTGTGTTGCTCGCCGTCTTCTCCGTCGTTCTTCACGCGAGAGGGAGCTATTTTCTTGGTTTCCGGTCTTTCGTAATTTACCGCCACAAATTTCCTCAGTCGGGTAAAAACATTCATCAGTTGAGTCACAGTCACTGAGTTTGCCATTCTCCATACTTGAAAAGGGGATAAGATTTACATGATGTGCATGCTGGTGTTGAATATCCGATTCAAAGTCTTTCATGGTATCTCTGTAAAGACAAATGGAAAGGATTAATTTCAGACTAATTAATCACATGTTGTTTGTAAGCTAGGTAAGATTTCATATTAATTCAAACACAAACGACGTAAGCTAAGTACGATTTCAGATTAATTCAAACACCAAACAACGTAAGCTAAGTACGATTTCAGATTAATTCAAACACAAACGACGTAAGCTAAGTACGATTTCAGATTAATTCAAACACAAACGACGTAAGCTAAGTACGATTTCAGATTAATTCAAACACCAAACGACGTAAGCTAAGTACGATTTCAGATTAATTCAAACACAAACGATGTAAGCTAAGTACGATTTCAGATTAATTCAAACACCAAACGACGTAAGCTAAGTACGATTTCAGATTAATTCAAACACAAACGATGTAAGCTAAGTACGATTTCAGATTAATTCAAACACAAACGACGTAAGCTAAGTACGATTTCAGATTAATTCAAACACAAACGATGTAAGCTAAGTACGATTTCAATTAATTCAAACACAAACGACGTAAGCTAAGTACGATTTCAGATTAATTCAAACACAAACGATGTAAGCTAAACACCAAACGACGTAAGCTAAGTACGATTTCAGATTAATTCAAACACAAACGATGTAAGCTACAAACACCAAACGACGTAAGCTAAACATTTCAGATTAATTCAAACACCAAACGACGTAAGCTAAGTACGATTTCAGATTAATTCAAACACCAAACGACGTAAGCTAAGTACGATTTCAGATTAATTCAAACACCAAACAACGTAAGCTAAGTACGATTTCAGATTAATTCAAACACAAACGACGTAAGCTAAGTACGATTTCAGATTAATTCAAACACAAACGATGTAAGCTACAAACACCAAACGACGTAAGCTAAGTACGATTTCAGATTAATTCAAACACAAACGATGTAAGCTACAAACACCAAACGACGTAAGCTAAGTACGATTTCAGATTAATTCAAACACCAAACGACGTAAGCTAAGTACGATTTCAGATTAATTCAAACACAAACGACGTAAGCTAAGTACGATTTCAGATTAATTCAAACACAAACGATGTAAGCTACAAACACCAAACGACGTAAGCTAAGTACGATTTCAGATTAATTCAAACACCAAACAACGTAAGCTAAGTACGATTTCAGATTAATTCAAACACAAACGACGTAAGCTAAGTATGATTTCAGATTAATTCAAACACCAAACGACGTAAGCTAAGTACGATTTCAGATTAATTCAAACACAAACGATGTAAGCTAAGTACGATTTCAGATTAATTCAAACACCAAACGACGTAAGCTAAGTACGATTTCAGGTTAATTCAAACACCAAACGACGTAAGCTAAGTACGATTTCAGATTAATTCAAACACAAACGATGTAAGCTACAAACACCAAACGACGTAAGCTAAGTACGATTTCAGATTAATTCAAACACAAACGATGTAAGCTACAAACACCAAACGACGTAAGCTAAGTACGATTTCAGATTAATTCAAACACCAAACGACGTAAGCTAAGTACGGTTTCAGATTAATTCAAACACCAAACGACGTAAGCTAAGTATGATTTCAGATTAATTCAAACACCAAACAACGTAAGCTAAGTACGATTTCAGATTAATTCAAACACAAACGACGTAAGCTAAGTATGATTTCAGATTAATTCAAACACCAAACGACGTAAGCTAAGTACGATTTCAGATTAATTCAAACACAAACGACGTAAGCTATGTACGATTTCAGATTAATTCAAACACCAAACGACGTAAGCTAAGTACGATTTCAGGTTAATTCAAACACCAAGCGACGTAAGCTAAGTACGATTTCAGATTAATTCAAACACAAACGATGTAAGCTAAGTATGATTTCAGATTAATTCAAACACCAAACGACGTAAGCTAAGTACGATTTCAGATTAATTCAAACACCAAACGACGTAAGCTAAGTACGGTTTCAGATTAATTCATACACCAAACGACGTAAGCTAAGTACGATTTCAGATTAATTCAAACACCAAACGACGTAAGCTAAGTACGATTTCAGGTTAATTCAAACACCAAACGACGTAAGCTAAGTACGATTTCAGATTAATTCAAACACCAAACGACGTAAGCTAAGTACGATTTCAGATTAATTCAAACACCAAACGACGTAAGCTAAGTACGGTTTCAGATTAATTCAAACACCAAACGACGTAAGCTAAGTACGATTTCAGATTAATTCAAACACAAACGATGTAAGCTAAGTATGATTTCAGGTTAATTCAAACACCAAACGACGTAAGCTAAGTACGATTTCAGGTTAATTCAAACACCAAACGACGTAAGCTAAGTACGATTTCAGATTAATTCAAACACCAAACGACGTAAGCTACAAACACCAAACGACGTATGCTACAAACACCAAACGACGTAAGCTACAAACACCAAACGACGTAAGCTAAGTACGATTTCAGATTAATTCAAACACAAACGACGTAAGCTACAAACACCAAACGACGTAAGCTACAAACACCAAACGACGTAAGCTAAGTACGATTTCAGATTAATTCAAACACAAACGACGTAAGCTACAAACACCAAACGACGTAAGCTACAAACACCAAACGACGTAAGCTAAGTACGATTTCAGGTTAATTAAAACACGAACGATTGTAAACAATTAAACTATAGTAGATAATATCAAATTACTTTATGTTATGTTTACTTAAGATAGTGTTAGAAATAAGTTTACATGTTTGAAATTTTCCTCGGACGTCATGATATATATTGCTGTCATATTGTTTCCTTATGACGTAGTACAAAAGACGGAGACGATTTAATCCCCCTTGTCTTCATATGATGTTTATAGTCTTGTTTCTGGGTAGTTAAACCAGTATCACTTGATTGCACTTATCACGTCACCCTCTCGTGAACCCCAATCTCGGAACTCTCTTCCGTTATGTTTAAAAACAGAGTCGAATCGAAGAGTTCCCAGTATACTGTTGATCCTGTAGGTTTAAACATTGAGCTCTCGAGGAGAATTTAAAAAGACGATATTAAATCAATATTTAATTGATTTAAGGGCACGCCCTCGGATTACCTAACACTTTTCGGGTTATCAAATATCCGTATCAACAAGGAAAAAGAGCAGTAATTGTTGAATATGACCCGAGATGTTCCGAGGTCACAAGGATCATATCATTTTTTATCTTTAGGTGATAAAAGATTTTCTGACGTCACAAAACCCCTAATATATTCAAATAAATTACTATAAACAGACGGTGTTTGTAAGTAGCAAGCCTTTATATCAGAATATATATGTGTGATATATGTATTAACATTCTTATATATAATCCATACACTGAACAATAAAAAAGTAAACATTTCAGAAAGGGAGATAATCAATGCTTTATAACTGAAAATGTTGATAATAATAGAAAGTGTGTTATTTTCACTATTAATGTGTCAGGTTCATCACTATATTATGTTATTTCAGTTCAATAAGATATTCTCCCAATATGAAGAACTTGCATAGAATACCTGTTTACAGTAATTGGTGTAAGTAAGCATAAACCTCCCAATATGGCTGACTGATGACTTCCGGTGCATGCTTTGATAACTAATCCCTCCTGACCTTCGTCAATAGATTAAACGGGTTACTAACACGTTTATTTTGAAGTCTAGTTATCTTCTCAACACGACCAGGCATAAAATGATACTTTTTATTTGTCATATGAAAGTTTCTTTGAATTGATCATGAAAATGAGACATAAAAAACTGGATACTTATATTTTTCAATCACTTAAAGAGAAAAAGTATAGATGATAAAGTAACAGTATTGTCTGGAAAAGACAACTTTGCCTTTGTAATCTCATTCAACTGTCTGCTTCGTAGTTTACACACCAACCCGCAGTTTAAAGGAATGTCTTTTGGGACTTAGAATGTACACGTTTTCCTAATTGAAAAAAACAGATCATTGATCAAAGATTCCGTAAATTGGATTCCCTTGCGCATGCGCAGAATTGATATTTATTGGCAGACATCGTTGATTAAGCAGAGTATGATGTCTCCTTAGACGATAATGGGATCTGGCACCATATTGATACGTTAGAGACCCTGTTAGGGTCCAACATTCCCTAAATGGTTTAATACACCACGCGCGCCCTTGTTAGGCGAATATTTACACCGCAATCATATTACGGCCCCATCAAATATGGACACCAGGTCACTAGCCGTGATCCAGGGGGCGCTGCCAAGTGACGACGGAAGAATGACAAAGCGTACTAATGTGATTAGTCTCGACCGTATCACACCTTTCCTGACATTACTCCGCCGTTTTCCGTCACTATAATGTAAATTGGAAGGCTATGGAAAATTGGACAGACCGAACGCCAGGTCCACCTGCTTTTACAACCTCAATTGTAGTCTGTGTCAGTAAACATGGAGACAGAAAACATTACTGTGTCCGAGTCGACTAAATACTGCTTTAGGCATTGGTCTAGAGAAGGGAAAACAATATTGCTGGTCCTTTCTAGTCGTAACAAAGTTCTTTTAAATATCATTATATCAACATGAGCTTAAATACAATACTTATGAAGCAGTGGTCCGTGTTTCAAAATATTTCATACCAATGACTTTATCGTAAGTGACATTCCGGCGAAATGAAGTTTAGTACAAAAAAGTTTTTTTTATATATATGACAGTGACAAGATAATACATAGATAAACGAATAGTATTCGAAAACAAGTACATAAGTACTTATATCATTATTTCATTTTCGTAATCTATTGAAGCTTGACAACAAAGCAGAGAGACAAGGAGAAATGGCGACATAGAAGGGCCGTGTCAGAAAATCATAGGTCGTTACAAAACCAATGATAAAATTAGCTGAAAAGGTCCCTGAAGTCTTTTCAATCAGCGAAGAGATCAAGAAACACTTCAGAAAAAAATCATCAAAATATAAAGAAATACATCGATATGTTATAGATTTCATAGTAC